TTACAAAATTGCCATTTTTATATAATATTTTATTAATTTCGAAAATGCCAAAAAACCTATTACACCCTAAACATTTCTCCTTATTTACAACAATGCCATTATCATCAATATCTCCAACCACCATGAACCACCATTGATGAGCTCTTAAAGCTCAAGATATGAATTGTCAACCACTTATTTCACTTTCTAAACCAACAATACTTCATATCCTCTCATTTCCTCTCTATTTTCATCTAAACAATCCTCATAACTCTCATTTTTATAAACACAAACTTCATAGTTTCGATTATATTCGCAAGTGAGTCGTAAAAGGTGTTTCTTTTGCTCATATTTGGATTCTGGACAGTGGAAAAGCTTGGAAACAAGCTTTAAACCAGTGTCAAGGTAACTATTTACATGTTTTTCGTCATATCTCTGATCTGTATCGCGAAAGTAGATTGTATTATATGTCTACACATACGTGTAGACTTACGATGCAATCTACTTGTTAACGCACAGGTTACTTTTGCAATTTACCAAATAATTTTTTTTTCTAATGTAGACCTACAAGTACGCCAACGTCTTTACCTTTGAAACCAAAAACAAAAAAATTGGTAGACTTACTAAGAAATCTACATAGAAAAGGTTGGTTTTGCATTTGACCAAAATTTTGACTTACCATAGTAGACTTTCTTGGAAGTCTACACTTTGTAGACTGCTAGGGAAGTCTACTGAAGGTCAGTTTTGCATTTGACCAAAACTTTGACTTCGTTGAATAGGTTTCTTTTGTATTTGACTAAAATGTTTAGAAACTGACTAAAACTTACTTTACGTGTAGACTTTATATGCAGTCTACAAATCTTAAGAAAAAAAAAAGTAGACTGCATATAAAATCTACTATTTTATGTTGGTCAATTGCAAAACTAACTTGTTGGGTTATAGTGTAGACTTTTACTGCAGTCTACAGTTATGTAGACATTTAGTTTTGTCTACTTATAGAAAGTCAACTTTGGTCAATTGCAAAACTAACCTCTTTCAAACAAATTTAAAAATGTAGACTGCATAGTAAGTCTACTTCTAAAAGTCAAACACTTAACGAATTCTGGTCAATTGCAAAACTAACTTTTTAAAAAATGTAGACTAACAAAGAAGTCTACTCGTATAAAATCACTTCTTTTTTTCAAATACAAAAAATAACCCGTGAATTTGGAAATTGCAAAAACCAAGCTAGATGTAGACCTAATTTGCAGTCTACGTAATGTCAACTGAATAAAACGTCTACACATTTGTAGACTGAATATGTAGTCTACCTAAAAAAATCTATCAAAAGTGGATTTGTGTATTATTCATTAAGTTTTTTCAAAAAAAATTTTTATGAAAGTGTGTGTTAGTTAATCATAAGGGTCTTGAATGATTTTCAGAAGATAATCTGTTATAATTAGGAAGTTATCAAATTTTTTGTTTGTCTATGTTGTTAGCTTAAAATTTGTCGACGTACTTGTAAGTCTATGATATAATTTTTGGTTTAACTATATTGTTTGCTAATAATTGTAGATGTACTTGTAAGTCTATTTTATAATTTTATCAAACATGAAATTTTTATTTGCTAATTATGTAAACCGTATTTTTTTTTTTTTTTTGCAGGAGATGGCTCAGTTACTCGTTGTATACAGAGAATGGGTGGTGAAAAACTGTAGATGTGTTAGTGTTATGTGTTGAACTTATGAGTTGTCTTATTGCTATGGATGTTCTATTATGTATTAGTGTCTCATTGCTTTGAATTGTCTTCTATTGGATTTGTAGGTCTTTAGTCTGTGTTGAACTTATAAACTATATTGTTGGTTTGGATGTTGTCTAATGTGATACACTTATGTTATAGTTTTCTATGTCAAGTAGACTTCTTTGTAAGTCTACAAAAAAGAAGACTAATAAGTAACAAGAATTGTCTGTCAAGTAGACTTATATACTTGACTCTATACTTGACAAGAAGCAGTGGGATAACCAATAAAAGACTTTCATAAGAGCATGATTATCCCACAACCCCATTTTGGGTCTCTTAAACAAAATTGTTTCAAACAAAATTGAAGTTTCAAACAAAATTGAAGTTCCATCTTCTCCATTGCTCCCCACATTCCTCGTCTCACTCCAAGCTTTGCAATCTCCCTTGGTATCCCCATAACAAGAAGCAGTGGGATAACCAATAAAAAACTTTCATAAGAGCATGATTATCCCACAACCCCATTTTGGGTGTCTTAAACAAAATTGTTTCAAACAAAATTGAAGTTTCAAATAAAATTGAAGTTCCATCTTCTTCACTGCTCCCCACATTCCTCGTCTCACTCCAAGCTTTGCAATCTCCCTTGGTATCCCCATGTCTTCATGGTGAAACAAAATCACTTCACAGGTACTTGTTACTCCATCGTCTCTTCTTGACTCCACTGCATAAAGTGATATATAACATCATTAAGCTATGTTATTTCAATGTTTGGATAATTACAAAGTGATTTTTACCTGCTTGTACTCTACAAACATGTATTAACTCATAACACTTAATCAATTTTTGTCAACGACATATGCATTTCAATTTACAGCAAATAATTTGAACATATACAAACCCTAGAACGAAAATTGAACAATTTAATCAAAACAATAAGAGATGCAGAGACTCTTTATAAACACATATATAGAGAGAGAGAGAGAGAGAGAGGGAGGAGAGTAATGGTGATGACGAGGAGGAGATGAGGAGGAGACAAGGCGGAAAGTAATGGTGGAGATGAGGAGGAGACGAGGCGGAGAGTAATGGTGGTGACGAGGAGGAGATGAGGAGGAGACAAGGTGGATATGGCTGAAGGATGGGAGAGGATAGTGGTGATGGTCGTGGTGATGAATGGTGATTCCGAGAGGAAGGTGGTTGGGTGTGAAAACGGAGTCGAAGAGGGTTCACCGGAAATCGCCCCCTAAACCACCTCAGATCTAAACGGCGTGATTAGGATTCTTTTTACCAGAAAACCCTAAAAGTATTTATATGCTGTGTAATTTTTTCGGTTAGGTTAAATTGGTTAATTTAGACTGAAATAGATGTCTACATATAAGTAGACTTTACTGTAAGTCTACTATACCCTAAATATTGGCACCAATATGGAAAAATAGGCTCCAAAATTCATTTTCACTTTCCGCTTAGTTAATTTTAATTTTAAAATAATTTATTTTGGTAAACACAAATTAACATAGACTTAAATAGACGTCTACATATAAGTAGACTTTACTGTAAATCTACTATACCCTAAATATTGGCGCCAATATGGAAAAATAGACTCCAAAATTCATTTTCACTTCCTGCTTAGTTAATTTTAATTTTAAAATAATTAATTTTGGTAAACACAAATTAACGTAGACTGAAATAGACGTCTACATATAAGTAGACTTAACTGTAAGTCTACTATATCCTAAACCAGAAATCTCAAACCCTAAACCCCAAATCTCAAACCCTAAACATTTGATTGATTATAAAAAAAAAATCTTAGTCATTGTACCAAATATCATATATACAAAATATAAACTACTCAACATTAAATATGCAATTTTGAATCATTAAAACAAAATAATTCTAAATCTAGAATCTAACCCTAAGAATCTAACTCTAAAAGACATAACATGTTAGAACCTTTGGTTGCTAAACCATTAACATTATCTACCACATAGTTCCCAAATCAATATACATTCTTTTAAATTGTTCAATTATAAGAAAAATTAATATATACCTCATACTAACCTTTAAATTGATGATTTATTAAAAAAATTACCAAAAACATTTTTTCTACATTTTTAAAATTAAATTATTTGATTAAATTAAGATGTAGACTAAATAATAAGTCTACATTAGTCTACACAGTAGACGTTAATGTAAGTCTACCTAGTTGTAGATTTCTTTCTTAAAGTGTAGACCTACGAATGACAGAATTGTAAAATATATTCCACGTTTTTTGTTTGTTCATAAGGGTTAAATAGTAGTTTTAACATCCATTTAGGTTGGGTTTGCAATTGATTAAATATGAGATACACCTTTAGGGTTAAAATGAATATTTGGGTTGGTTTTGGCAATTCCTCCTTAAATTAGTGTGTGCATATAAATTCAAACAGTCATTGTTATTTATTTACAATCATTTAATGGTATAAATTCAAAATTCAGTTTTTAACAATTTTAAATGATATATAATAAATTTAAATTCTATTATCATAAATGTATAGTATATTATTAATATGATTATTTACTAAATGAAATTTCATACTCATATGGTTTTAAGAGAATTAATTTGTTTTTGTAAAAAAAAATTCAATATACGATTTTGAATAATTTTAGTAATTTATAATCATTTTTCAAATTCAATAAATTTTGAAACTAAAATATTAAATACTCAATATGTGTTCAATGGAAATTTCAAATATTCATATTTGTATTTATATGTTATAGTTCATCCTACAAGATTATAAAATATATATATATTTTCATCTGAATATCTATTAAATGAGACCTCTTACTCATTTGGTTTGATCATCTGTATTTGTTATAAAAAATTAAACCATAAATCAAAAAAATTCAATGTGATATTTTAAAAGTTTAATGAATAGTTTTTTTCAAAATATAACATATACGAAAAACCTAAATATTTATTGTATTGTTAATGTGATTGTTTGATCTATTTAATAATATAAAATTAAACTTAGAGGATACACAAACTTTTTTCAAATCTTTATTACTGCAATATATATATATATATATATATATATATATATATATATATATATATATTAATCGTTTGATAATTCCGTGAAAGAATATATTTTTATACATTAGTAATATAGTGATAACAAGAATCTTAATCTAAATGTTGTAATATTTCTCAAATAATGTATAAGGAATATTGTGGCCATTAGCTTTTTTACATCAAGTTTTTTCTTGTGGCTATATTTATTTTTGTTATTTGGAAGTTTTTTTTATTTAAACATTTTCTTACAATCAAGTTTAATATTGCAATTTTTAAATTTCAAATTGGGTCTTTAGTTAATTACAACAAGCAGGGTTAAACCTAAAAACATAAATGGGCCAAATTTTGATTCCAGTTACAGTTTGCAAAATCCAGATAAAGAAAAAAAAAGTAAAAGAAAAACTTGATCAATGTTAAAAAAAAAAACTTAAAATCTAAAGAGTTGAAAAAAGGTTTGAATCTAAATCTTAGGACGAAAACATAATCATGTCTGTCTGCACTGCAAAGAAAATATCATATACGCATGCCCTAGTTTCCAACCACATCCGGATTGCCTGTTATCGATGTTATCCTTGCATATTCCTTTTTGACTTCATCCTTAATTTCTTGCCTGTGTGTATGATTGTTCTCTTTTGCTTCATCTAACTTGCCTTCGTTAGCGTTGTTAATTTCATTCCCCGCAGCCTCGTTCCTCACCATATCCTGCATACAAACATCTTCTGCAGCCAAACGGTTCTCCCTTGCCTCACCACAAGTAGCCGCACCGGAGCCATGTGTTCCACTATCCCTTCCAGACTCATTCTCTTCAACCTCTCCATTACCATCTTCACCAACAACCATATCCCGCCTCTCGAGAGAATCTAACCTTCTCTTAAGATCACCAAACTCCCTTTCCATCAAGAATAACCTCTCCTTCACAGTTAAGTTCTCTTCCTCTAGTTGAGCAATATGCCTATTCTTATCACCAACTCTGTTTTCTAAGTCATTGTTGTAATCAAACCTACCACCATCATTCGGACACTTTATCTCTAATTGGCTCAAGTCATTGTCTAATCTCTTCTCAGTCTCTACATGCTCCTCCCCATCACTCTTACACAATCCTCCTTCGTCTTCATCAAACGGTTCCAATTCATGAATACCATCAGATCTCAGCCTAACCAACCCCTCCATAGATCCATACACATCAACTCCCCATTCCTCCTTTACCATATTGCCCAAAACCTCTACTGATGGAGATAACATCGGGGAAGGCAACACAGATGGTGTTACAAGGCATGGAGACACTGAATTAGCAATGCCACCAGATTTCTTTGCCCGGATAATAAAAGAGCTTGTGTTCCGTGGAGCATAAGGAGCATATCGATTACCATATTTGTTCTTCAGGTAAAACTTTCTGTTTTTAGACTGAAGCATATTCAAAGCCGGAGGTTTGTAACAAGCTGAACACGAACCATCTCTCCGCTTCTGGACGTTGTACACTCTGTTGTTACCACCTGGAAACATAGTAATACCATTCCAATTATGACCATAGTAGTTATTAGGGTTTACCGAGTTAGGGTTAACGCTAAAGTTTGGGCGATTCACCGTTAGAGGCTGATTGTTCACCATAGCCTGAGATTGGGATTGAGATTGAGCCATGTTTATCACTTGTTGTTGCTTGTTCATAGCCATACTCCAATAATTCAAGCCATGAGATTGACCTAATAACAGACTCTGACTCATAATCTGAGACTTAATCATCAGCGACGGTGGAGGAAGTAGTGGATTCATTATCTTAGACACAACAAAAGAGACGCAAACACTTAACCGAGATTGCCTTATTGAAAATAAAACCTAAGTTTTGAAAATACTTAGAAACAAATCAGTAGACAACTATATTTGTGTAAATATGTTCTCTGTTGTCGAATTTTCTTTGTAAATTTTATTTTCAAAAGTTTGAGCAAATATTAAAATTAGAAGAATAAAAAGCTAGAGGTAACCTTTTCTTTTTTTTTCTGAAACTCTGTAACAGGTTATATAGAGGTGAAGGAAGTCGAATGAACGGCCGAGATGCAGCAAGTTAAAGTCGAATGAACGGCCGAGATGCAGTAAGTTAAAGTCGGTTACTATTTCACATAATACATGTCGGTTGGTGTTGGGCTTTGACTTTGGTCCAGGTAGCTTCGTCGGTTACATATTTTTTTATCTTTTTTTTTTGAGAAAAAATGCTCGTTACAATTTATAACTAATTTTTTTTGCTAATTAATTTCAAGAAGTTAACTATGTTAAAATCCAGGTGTTGGAGAGGGATTGAACACCCTCCACAAGGCCCATCGAATAACAGGCTTCAGCCCATTTACGATCGGTTTGATTGAAGTTCGACCGAAAACCAAGGATCAAACCGGAAAAATCGAGCGACCAGCTCGTTCGTCCAGGAGCTCAACAAGCCGGTCTACTTGGGTAACCGGCTGATTAGGTCGATTTAAACCGGGTTCCACGAATGACTGCTAGCTCGAAAGCCCATTAAGCGCGAGCTCGATCTTGGGCCGTCAAGTCGAGCTTTAGGGCGAACGAAGCGAAAAGAAAAGGACTCGGAGTATAAAAGGACGAGAGCAGAGAAAGAAAAGGGGATCCGCAAATTACTACAAGAACTCTGACGGCAAGGTTTAGGGTTTTACGATCAATCGAACCTCCTTGTAATCCGGTCGGACTTTATAAAGCTCCGACCTTTGTTCTCTTCTTGAATCTTTCTGTAATCTCCTCTTGATATCAACTCTGATTAATAAAACGCCTTCGAA